GTATGTCGGAGGAACTACACAGGGAATATTGGTTTTTAGATTATTTTGCCATAAGGCATGCGTGCTCCCTGGAGAGAGACTGACAGGGAAAGTGAGAAATCACCCCCCAGAGGGGATGGCCCCACTGCAGCTCTTTCTCCTCCATTCTTCTCTCAGGATTTCGGGCACACATGCACATGTGCCTGGCCTGATTTTCAAGCCGCCAGGTCCAGGACTCAAACCAGCCGGCCCTGTGGGAGTCCAGTGCCTTAACCTCCACGACACCTGTTGGCTCCACTTGTTGTTGAGAGAGAGAGAGAGCTAGAGGACAAGTGACAGGGTCCCACTGTGCCGTGATTCTCCCACCTGTGCACCTCACGTGTTCAGGTTGGTCCAGGATCCGAACCCCAAGCCTGTGTGTGGCCCCAGCATTGTTTCTCATGGTTAATCTTAACGACTTGTCACAGTGACTTTGACAGGATTTCTCACCCTCAGCACTGATGGCGTTTCAGGTCGAAGCCTTCTTTGTAGTTGTTCTTAAGCTTTGTAGGATGTTTGGGAACATCTCTGGCCTCCACCCATCCCTGGCCTCCACTCATGAGCACCCTTTTCTCTCTCAAGTTGTGACAAACAAAAATGTCCTCATACATTGTCAGATATTTCCAGGGAGGCAAAATCACTCCTGGCTGGGAACCAGTGGGCTGTTTATAGGCACAGAGAAATTAAGTACGTGACAAGGTCCACGGCCAGTATGAGCAGAGGCAGGCCTTCAACACAGCTCCACTTCACTCCAAGGGTTGGGCCCCTTGCACCATGGGATGCCCTGACCAGGACGTGGTGATCAAGGTGATCCCACAGTGATGCAACTGCCTTTCTGTTTTTGTTTGTTTGTTTGTTTGCTTTTAAGGTTTTTACCATAGGTCGCATACACTCTCTAGAGAGTGAGCGAGAGAGAGTAAGAAATCACCCGCTGGGGGGATGTCCTCACTGCCATCCCTTCTCCACTCTCCTAGTGGGATTTTGGGCATGTACACTCATGCGCCCAGCATGATTTTCAGGCCTCCATGTCTGGGACTTGAACTACAGTCAGCCATGTAAGAGTCTAGCACCTTAACCACTGTGCCACCTGCTGGCCCCGCTGCCTTTCTTCTGTAAGGGCCTAGCAGAAGCAGGATGTGACAGCATACCCTGGAATCAGGCTGCAGCGTGGAGCGGGGCTTTCTGTCGCCAGCCCTCCGGCTACTCCAGCCTTTTCTCTCCCCCTTCCTTCCCTCACGTTTAGGGCGCCCATGTCGACCTGTTCCGCGATGTCACCTTCTACGTTTACTGTTCCCTCGTGCTGATCCAGCTCGTGTTGTCCTGTTTCTCAGACCGCTCGCCTCTGTTCTCCGAAACCATCAACGACCCCGTAAGTGACCACAGACGTGCGTGTGAGGGAGGTGTCACACAGCACCAGCTAGCCTCGGGTGCTGTTCTGGGCCAGGGTCATCCAGGCAGGATCTCCTTCCGTCTCCCCCGCTTTTCACGGGGAAGAACCGAGGCTTAGACTGGCTTGGGCACTTGAGAGGGCCGGCTCCTAGCTGTAAACTGCTGTGTGCTGTGGCTTGAGCTTTTTCCCACCGGGCATGGCGACGTTGGGACATGGGAGCAAGTATGTAAAACTGTGGAAATTTCACATGAACTTGAGCTGTCCAGATTTTCTGGAAATAGGAGTTCTGGCAGATGAGAACCGTGACCCCGAGGAGTGCGGCCACAACTCTCCATGGCCTCACACTCCCCGTCGTATTTACTGTCTGCACTCCATCCTGTTCCCCTCATTGGTGGCACCACCGGGACCCAGAGGGGTTTGGCTTTGAGACCCCCGGTCTGTCCTGTCAGTTTCAGGGAAATGCGGTAAGGACCACTGTTCTTCAGCAGGTCGGGTGAGACGGCACTCACCCAGCTGGTGAGCAGAGGGGAGCGTGGCCGTGTGCCTCGTCCATTCCTTCTCCTCCTTTCCTCCCGCCACCTGCTGCTTCTCTGCACCACCCCACCAGCCCCTGCCTTCTTCCTCTCCTTCCTTGTTCCCTCCCGTCCTTCCCTGCCTCCCTCCCTCCAACACCATGGCTTTCGCTGTCATGGGGGGTGCCAGAGAACCTTAGTATGAGGGGTCTTCACGAAGCTCATGGGAAAAAGGAGTTAAAGTGTGAGTTTATTTTGGTGCACACACATTTGGAAATCCATGTGTAATTTTTTCACAGGAAGTATTTCTCACTGCCTTTTTGAGGGCCCCGTGTATATATCAGGGATTAGTAAGTGCTGAGAGGATGAAAATGGGGGAAGGAAGTGGAGAACAATGGCTGGAATCTTAGACAGTTGTTTTTTTTGTTTGTTTGTTTTTGTTTGTTTGTTTGTTTTTAAGTTTATTTTATTCACAGTAGCATGTGAGAGAGACAGAGATCCTTCACAGGGTCTGGTCATGCCATGACTCCCTTCCCTGAGCTCATCAGAATCTTGGGTGCATGCATTCCTGGCACATTTCAGAGTGGTGGGCTGGGGATCTGAACCCATGGCTGGCCACATCGCTTCAGCACCGTAGTCCAGTACGCTGCACACTGTACCACCTAGGCTGGCCTGTGTACAGTGTTTGGTAAGAGATCAGGGATGTCTCCCCGGAAAGCTGCAATGAGCAGAGACCTACAGGAGCGAGGGAGCAGGCTGAGCGAACACCCAGAGGAAGAGTGTTCCAGGCAGAGGGTTGGCATGTGCAAGGGCCCTGGGGTGTGGGCGCTGTTGGGCAGTGTGGAGGGAACAGCAAGAAGAGCCAGTGTAGCTGGAATGGCGTGAGGTTGGCTGGCTGTGGGGCATTGCCTGTGTAGGGGACAGTGCCTTTGTGGGCCGGGTAAGCTGTTGGGAGTGGACTGAGTGTGGCGAAAAGCCTTTGCAGCATTTATCTGATGCTTTGTTCGTGACTAATCAGCTGTTTGCCAGGCGGATTGCAGTGGGGGCGGTTTTCAGCTGCCATGCTCTGTTTCATCTGTCCTGAACCTCAGCAGAGGGCTGCGACTTGCTTTGTGGGTGACAGAGGGCTTGTAGGAGACCAGCAGGAGATTTTAGAAACCTGCGTCCCGATGTGTGTCCTGAGAAGCCCCGTGCTGGGATTTCCCTGCCGAAGGAACTGGGTTGGAGAACTGAGCAACATGTTTGGGTCTGTGTGTTCACGTGTAGTTATATGTGTGCATATGTGTGTGTTTATGTGCATCTGCACTAACAGGTATGTGTGCACACATATGGTCATGTGAATATGTGCTTGTGTGTGTTTATGTATGTGTGTGCTTATGTGTGCGTGCATCTGTCTGTGGACGTACATGTGAGTATGTTTGCATGTATATAAAATCAGAAGGGCAGTGACCATGCCCGGGGCACCGTGTTGGTTCCTGGCCTGTGCCTGATACAGAGGAGGGGCTGTGTGGCTGTCGTGTACTTGGTTCTCAGGGTGGCAGTGCAGTGTGCCCATCACGAAGCGTTTATTAAATGCTGGGCTGCTCTGCAGAGCAGGGGCTCACACCACACGAGTCACACCCCCTGAGTGGCTGCAAACTTGGGTTGCTCTGAGGGTCAACGAGTCCAGGTGGGCCAGCCAGTTGGCATACAGATCATCTGACCCTTCAGGATTTCTCTGGGGACCTGAGGACAATCCCCTTCCCTGTAGACCATCCCAGATGTTGTATGGAGAGAATTTGTGGTTTCTGGTCTTCTTTGGGGGACTGGATAAAAATTCCTTTTGCCGCCCAGCCAAGGTGGGACGTGCTGCTAAAATGCTATGCTCTGCAGGCTGGGTGCACATGGGAGGCTTGGGTTTGATTCCTGGTCCAACCTAAAGGCTGGCACAGTGACACAGACCTATAATCCCAGCAACCTGCAAACCTGAAGCAGGAGGCCTGTGACTTCAAGGCTGGCCTGGATAGCATAGGAGACCCATCTTAAAGAGCTGTATGTTACGGCACATCCATCCAGGATTGCAACAAGGCCAGACTCTGTCTTAAAAATTCCCTTTTGCAAGGGGCCAGTGGGTGGTGTAGTGGTTAAGGCGCTGGACTCCCACATGGCCAACTGCAGTTTTCAAGCTGGACCTGGCAGCTTGAAAATCACACCGGGTGTGTAAGCATGCATGCCCCAGATCCTAGGAAGACAGTGGAGGAGAAGGGATTGTGCTGTGACCATTCCTCCCTGGGGGCGATTTCTCACTTTCTCTCTCATCGTCTCTCTTCAGAGTGCACGTGCCCTGTGGCTACAACCTTTAAAAAAAAAAAGTTTCCTTTTGCTTCTTTCTTGGGTGTGTGGGTACTGGGGTGACTCACAGAGCTGCTATGGTCCCTCCCTGTGATTTCTGCATTTCTGGCCTCCTGAGTCCGCTCTGCCGTTGCCACGCTAGGCTGCACGAGGCTCTCAGCTCCGGCAGTGGAGGCTGGACCATGGAGGGCTGGGCACTCTGACTCCTCCCCTGCCATTATCTTTCTGCCTCTGTTGATCTTGTTTCCCCCTACTCCCTCATGTCACCACTGGTCTCTCAAGGAGGTGGAAAATGCTGTCTTTTTCCTCTTGTACACTGAAACCCAGCAGGGTGGCCCCTGTGGCTGTGTGGGCTGGCGCATTTCTGACATTTGTGTACAGGCCAGGAAGAATGCAGTGCTTGGCTGACGCTTGCCCTCTAGTATGCTTGGCGTTTCTCTGGGTTCTTCTTCAGGAACCCACTGGGGTGCTGCTTGTCTCTTTGCAATTTGAGGCCTAGGCCAGGGATTGACCAAAGTCAGCCCATAGGACTCATGCTCTTAAACCTCTGCTACTCAAAGACCAGCCACATCAGCATCACCGGGACATGTTAGAGCTGGCAGAATCTCAGATCTGGCCCCGAACAGAATTGTTTTTATAACATCCGCGGTAGTTCTTGTGCACAGGCAAGTTTTAAACTTAAAAGTACTGGTTTAAATCTGACAGTGGCCTTGCGAAGCTTTATTTATTTTCAAGGTGTAAGAGAGTTCTGGCTCAGAGAAGTTGAGCTGTTAGACCCTAACTCGTACTGTAAATCTGATGGGCGGCAGTGTGGTGTGATGGAAGATCCTTATTTTGGAGGTGGGCAGACCCTGGGCGTTAATCCCACGTGGGCCCTTCGTCCCTTCACTACACACTTAGCATCTGCTGTATACGGTTGGCTGCTGCTCGGTTGCTTCCAGCCCAGAATAGTACTAATGCTAAGGTGGCATATTTGGGGTGGTTTCTTCTGAAGGAGGGCAGAATGTTACAGAACAGTATCTGTGACTAAATTCTAGATGTGTATCAGCCTCCTTTACTCCATAGCAAACCACTGCATTTGGCCGCATAAACAGCAGTGTAGTTTGTGATGATGTTTCACAGTTCTGGACAGTGACTGGGCTCAGCAGGTCGGTTCTTACTCCCTTTCTCTCTCTCCTGTAGTTGCAGTCAGATGGTGATCAGGACTCTCGTCAGCTCAAAGGCTGTCTCAGTCTTGTGTCTGGTGGTTAGTGCTGGCTACTGGCTGGAGCCTCACCTGGGGTTGACGCCTACTTGTGGTTTCCGACTGTGGCCTGGCCTTCCTGAAGCATGGCGGCTGGTCTTTTAGGTGAATGAGTGTTCTAGGAGAGCACCAGGTGGAAGCTGTATTATTTATTTATTAAAGCTTATTCATTCATCTCTTCCATAAGCAAGAGAGACAGCACCCCAAGTTTTTGTTACTGTGACCTGTCCCCAGCCAGCCCTGGATCGTGGGCATGCACTTGCCTGGTGTACCCAGGGAGATCATTAGATGTGAATTTGAAATCCCATGCGGTCATCCTCACAGAGTGTCACATCGTATTGCTGTGCCACCCCCTGGCCCTGGAAGCTGTGTCATTTGAATGTTTTAATTTACCAGAGGGCACATGCACTTATCAGAGAGATAGGGGAGGAAGAAAGCGCCTCCCGCCCATGGGGCGCAGTCGTGCTGAAATCCCTTCTCCTCCTTTGGGGATTTGGATACGCATATACGCGCACCTGGTGTTTCTTAAGCCACTGGACCTGGCACTGGAACCGCAGTGTCAGCCATGTGGAATCCAGCTCCCTTAACCACCAGGCCACGGGCTAGCCCAAGTCTCTCATTCGTTAACATCCTAGTTCTGGAAGTCAT